TGGTCAGAACGATTGTTTTTGTTATTATTATTATTATTATTATTATTATTATTTATTATTATTATTTTTTTTGTATTATTTTTCCTGAAAAGATCACAAGCTATCCTACGGGAATCTAATGTTTCAAAGTCTGATTCACGTTCTTTGGAGCGGGAAAAATCAGGAAAGTTTGAGTACCCCTCCCGTAAGCCAACAAATTGCACTGTGGTAAACCAGATTATGGAAGGGATTGGCGCGGTGATTGTTTCATGGGCGAGATGATTTATTTATTTTTGCTYGATATTTTTCCTGGAAAGATCGCTACCTRATCTTCCAATGGTAAAAAATTCAGGAATTTTGGAGAATTCTTCATGGCGCGATAAATCGCCGAATTCGGGGTGGACCACGCAGCCCGGATATTACCGCACGGGCGAGTGAGGGACACTGAGTGAGGCAGAGGGAAACGTCCTATTTTCCAATCAGAATTGTCTCCATTCACCTTTCTATGCTGTTTTCGACCTACAATGGAGGGACTGTAGAGAACAAGGGGAACAGAGGAGGGGAGAGCACAACGAGAGCAGGGARCTGATTGGCCCCTTATTGTACGATCTCATGTTTACTCATGATTGTCGAACAWCGTTTTGGCATGGGTTAAGCTGGCCCTCTCTGACCGGTGTTAAGCTAGACTCCACARACCAGGATCTCCCCAACTTATTATTATTAGTGTGGGTCACTTGGAAGTGCACAAGTGAGYTGATGMTGCATCGAACTGGARGAGGGACAACTGAAACCGAACCGCATTGCTCACGCGCTCCCGAACTCGGGGAGAGCACTTGGAACTCGGATATTAGTCCAAAGTATTACCACTAGCTTTTTGTGGTGCGTGTTGATCGGTGGAGAGAGACTGAAAGAAGTCTGAGACGAGGGACGGTAATTGAGATAAGCCAAATTCGAATCCGAGCCACTCGATTGGCTCGAGTCCCAATCGAGGCTGGTGCATTACCCCTGAGTCGCCCCATTGATTGATTGGCTACTATATTGCTCTGACTGTTAAACATGTGAACAAGAGAAAAAGTGTACCAGTTCTGTCTGGCATAGTATTTCGAACTCATCACAAAAAAAAAAAAAAGGGAAATGCAACTGAGTAAAACAATTCTTTCGAGAGTAGGGAGAGTGACAGGCAGAACAAGCACACCAACCCTGCCGGTCGCTGAGGACCTCGGAAGCGGGCGCAGCGGGTGACAGACGTTGTAGCCCTTGGCTTCAGCGAACAGTAGGCGCCCCTCCCCGGGTTTCCTCACAACGTGGTTGACCAGGCCCCTCGTGTGCACACGTATAAGCACGATCCAATAACCTCAGCCTACACATGTCCACACGCGGGCGGGTCGCGATCTCTGGATGGACTTGGCACTTGCAGTATTGGGATGGGTACATAATTTCCCCTTTGCGAGAACTTAAGCCAGTGGGGGTTTCCGCGACCGTACCCGGAATTCCCTTGCCAGTCGGAGAACGATCGGGTGTGTGCGGAGGACTACCACTACGCCACTACTAACGACCCACGGGGTCCTGACTACCCGGAGGCCCGTCACACGCACTATTTCACCTCCCCCGGCTTTGTCGTCATCTCCACTAACTTCCCTCCCTTCCGACTCCTTCTCCCGTATCATTGGCTTACAGTAATACCGTGGGATTCTATTGCCCCGTACTGGCCCCGCACGTCGCACAGAAACTCCCGACAACGCGGCGGCCACCGAACCTCCGGAATTACCGCGCGTAACCGCAACGCACAGCACCAGCTGCCACACGTTCACACAAGGAGGCCCAACTCGCAGAGATCGCAATCCCCACGAATGGACCTCTCCTAGAGCCCTGAGCCATCGTAATAGAAACAGGTGGATCGGATGGCCCAAGACGCACTGCGCATACCATCTGCCTTATGTTGCACGACATCTTCAGCCTTCGGCCCGGGAATAACCTGTCCCTTAGCCTCACAGACGAACCCATCCCTTATTGCACCTATGCCCCTGAACCTTGCCACAGGAGATCTCAGTTCCGACCTGGGACTCCACCCCAAATTCCCGAAAATCCTTGGCACACCCCTTTTCACACTTCGAGGCCCACATCCCACTCCGATCAGGAAGTCGCGCCGGGCGTGAGGTTGGGCGTCACAAGGGGCCGCTCTGAGGTTTCCTATTGCAGCAAGCCTGGCCGTTAGAGACAGGGTAGCATGTCCACTGGTCCATGCAGGCCGTCCGGACTTTCCTTTTCGGGAGGGGCCCCTCTCAGGTTTCCTATTGCAGCAAGCCTGGGCATTTCCAAAGCACCGGCAGAAGTTGGCGGTGTGGTCTTTTGGAAACGTGCCAAAAAGTTTCCACGGACGTTGGACAGATTTTCGCGGCGTGATACCTTTCCCAGCCGCTTTCAGTGGGGTCCAGGCCTAGCCAAAAGGCCAAGAAAGGTATCGGACTGCAAAATTGCCCCGTAACAGACACAAAAAAAAGAAAAGAAAGAAACATAAAAACACGCCATCTTTTTGGGAACAGGGTACAGCCCCTTTCCTTTTCCAAACTGAGGCTTGGACCCCACTGGCTGGCCGCTGGAATAGGTACTTGGCCGCTGGTTTGTGGCCAACATAGGTGGAAAGGAATTGGCACGTTTCGACACGACCGCACCGTCTATTTGTGGTGGGGCTTTGGAAACGGCCAGGCTTGCCGCATGAGGAAACCAGAGAGGGGCCCCTCCCGAAAAGGAAAGTTCCGAATCTTCGGATGGCCTGCATGGACCAGCAGACATGCAAACCACCAACAGCCCGTTTGGACGATTCGTGCGATATGTCAAGCGCTGTGTTTCGCTCTGGTCCAGCCTCAAGTCCGTGACGCTCGTGAACTACACCACACCTTACTTGCCCCCGATGCCAAAGGCAGGCACTTTGCCCTCCCTACCCTGCTGGAGGCCGTTTTGGAAAAGAGGGCCAGTTTCGGGCGGAGACTTTTCCAGCCGCCAGCCATGTAGAAACATGGTGTTTCCAGAACGGCAGTGGGGTTTGAAACCTACATTGGCATACCTCTAAAAAACTTCCTGGCCGCCCCGTGGCGTCCGAAATAGCCCTTCCACGCCAAAACTTTTCCAGCATCCAGCCAGTGAGGTCCAAGCCTGAGCTCCCGACGTTCACTCCATGAACGCCACGTCCACGACCTTTTCCACATCCCTCAGTTCACACAGGAGTCTCCGGGGTTCAAGTGAAATCTATAATTTGCTTACCACCCTTAGAGCCTAGCTCCGTTGCTTACCACCCAAGAGCCTAGCTCAGTGGGTACGCCGTTGAACTGTTGAGAATACAGACCCGTGTTCGAACCCAAATGATGGAACTTGGTGAGTAAAACCAAAATTTTCTCAATTGCCTGGGGCCGGTCAGCTCAATGATGATATCTCAGGGCTACTACCGGAGCGCCCAAATTTATCCGACTAGAAACGTTTCTACTCTATTTTTTTTCCGCGGGCTATAGCTGGGCCAGGTATAAAAAAAAAAAAAAAAAAAAACCTTACCGTAAGTAGGGTGGGATGAGGCCGCGGACTGTGTTCTCCCTATTGCGGCTATGTTTTCTCTGTGGAGAGCATGAACCGAGCTGTAAGAGCGGGAAGGTTCGTAGTCTCCGAAAAGCGGCCATAGCGGACCATTCAAACGTTGCTGGGCTGGATTCAAATATCTCGGCAGGATAGGTCTTTCTACTCCTGTGATCACGACAGGTCTTTCTAGTCCTGTGATCACGACAGGTCTTTCTACTCCTGTGATCACGACAGGTCTTTCTACTCCTGTGATCACGACAGGTCTTTCTACTCCTGTGATCACGACGTGTGGAGCTTCCACCTCGCTCAAGACTCGGAGCCCCGCTGTTCCCGGCTGCGTTGGCAATTGTCAGCGTCGGGAGTCCCGATCCAGCAAGCTGCCGATTCCAGCAGTATCCCCTCTTCTCTGAAATTCCTAATGAGTCCTATTTTCTCTTTTTCTGATTTTTTTTTTGGAAAAGCTAATCATGACTTTCAAGCCAAGCGCTGCAGCTGAGAAATACTAATCTGTGCGAGCATTCATTTTCTTTCTTCTTTTGGGCCTGTTGCAGTTTCATTGCTTCAGAGAGCATGCCTATATTCCACGTCATCCTCCAGACGAAAGAACTGGGGGCCCATCCCACTTGCCTGCATTCTTCACTCTGGACCCTCGACTTCAGATAACACCGGCCATATACTACAGGTCCACTGAAAATAGAGAGTAAACTTGCTCCACCTGGCGGCCGCAGAGCATGAACCTGACAAGCATCGCAGGTCTGAACGATCTCAAAAAAAAGAAAAAAAGAAAAAAAAAAGAAAGAAACATCCCAAACAAGCCGCGAGTCAGGGCATATACTCACACGGGTACCTATAATCACAAAATCTCAAAAAAAGTGGAAAAGGCCGGTCACACGGATCTACCAAATTCGAAAATGTACTATTCCAGTACCCATTTGTCAGCCGCATGAGAAGCCACGGGGCAAGGGATTTTGCGGTGACCGCAAATTCCCCTTCTTTTTTTTTTGCATTTTATTCAAAAATTGACAAAAATTCGTTCATAAAAGTTCTTGCACAATTGGTGGATGGCGCCGTGTGACCAGCCAAGTACCAAATCCCCATTTCTCCAGACGGCCGCGTACAGCAGTGTGACGTGAACCATGCCCAAAACCTCAAATCAGCCCTTCCCAAATCGCGGTGTGAGTATGGCCTCAGGCTTGGGCTAATTTTTCGCATGCAACGTACGAGCCTTCGGAGCGAAAGAAAGGAACGATGGCGGCCGAAAGCCGCAGTGAGACGACTCTCTTGTGACTCACTCAGGGCCACCCCATCCGAGCACATGACTGCTGGATCGAGGCGGACCTTGAAGTGACTGCTACGAGCGAATGACATTGTATTAAAGCGAACGGAACTGCCTTGAACGAGCATTGACTGACTATACATTGTCAAGCTAACTTAGATAGTGTACCGTGTACGCACTCGCAACCGCTGCTCATTGCTTGCACACTGATCGCAGCAACGTTGACGAGTGGGGGCTCGAAGGGAGGAGGAGCGAGGGGCTCTTCGCCGCTGCTTTCCTGTCTTCCTTGGACCTCGGCGCCGTGAAGCGAGGGGAAGCTCATTGACGGGGAGCGGAGGCAGAAGTAGAGGGCAATGGCGGGTCAGGTGGTTCTTGCGGCCGTTCTTCTGATGATAGCTGCAGTTCACGCAAGCGCGCAGACTCCGACTGAGGTGACCATCGGGTCTGTCACCTACGCAGGCTCGGGCTGCAATTACCAGAACACCAACTACGCGCTGTCGAACGACTACAAGACGGTCACCTTCATGTTCGGCGGGATGGTTGCGACCACGGACGGGGCGCTCGCCGACAAGAGGAAGCATTGCCAGATGTCTTTCAATATGATCTACCCGGATGGCTGGAGCTTCTCCATCGGCCAGGCGACGGGCCGCGGGTTCGCTGACATCGCAAAGCACTCTGAGGGCGTCTACGAGACACACTACTACTTCTCCGGACAAACTGGTACGGCGATCGTCGAGCGCAAAATTAAAGGCCCGAAGGTCGGCAGCTTCGAGTTCACGGATGACTTCCTGACGGATGTCTGGAGCGAGTGCAACAACGCGCCCAACTTGAACATCAAGACGGTGGTGAAAGTGGAGGGCAAGAAGGCTGTGATGGCGCTTGACTCCCACGATACCAGGTTCCAGCTCATCTTTAACCTCCAATGGAGGCAGTGTGCGCAAACTTGAGACCCCCAGTCACCATCTCGCACTGAGGTTGGCGGTTGAGCGGGTGGAGATGAAGAGCGGCGGGGTGGAAGAGGAGGGTAGCCGAACTGAGGGAAAGAGGCTATGGTCGATGCAGTGGCGCGTTTTTAGAAGATCCCACCTACCATTCCTCGGCACTCGTTGCAAGGGACAGCATGGAGATGGTCGGGCTTCTTTAGCAGCAGTTGTAAACGACGAAATCAAGTGTCGCTGCTTATCTTATAGGTGAACAGAAGGTAGATATGGGATGATCAGTTGTTTTTTCGTAGATGCAGTCTCGCTGTGTGTGCTTCAGTAGCTCGTTAATAGTCGTTATCATAGCCCGTCGCGCTGTGTCCCCTCTCTGCCTGGTCCGAAGTAAACTATAACAAGTTTCCTTTTCACTGTTGAGAGKCGCGAAAGGTTGTTTTAKCCMSKYCGKKKCMAGCSSKWTTACGCCWSACMCTCTCWCTSTCTCTCTCTCTCTCTCTCTCTCTCTCTCTCTCYCYCYCYCYCTCTCTCTCTCTCTCTCTCTCTCTCTCCCCCCTCTTTCATTGTCGATAATCTGGTTTTCTTCTCTCTCCCTCTGCGAGACGCCGGATCATTACCTCCGCTCATTGGATCGAATAGGGTCTTTGTCGTCCGTTCAGCGTCGTCTCCCATAATTTTCGCATTTGAGAAAATAACAATCACCAAAGCTTGCAAAACCAGAGGGGGGGAAGGGGGGGGAACACCTGACTTCAAGCCATTCTAAAAGAAGTCGGGCCCCTCGTCAGTAGGTATGAAACGAAGAGAGTGGACAGGGGCAGCAGTGCCCAGTTGCTCTGCAACTGATAGTTTCCTCGGGAATCTTGTAAGAAGAAAAGGTAGGGAGTCTAAATCTCTCCGTGGGATTTACTGCCCTCATGCAAAATCCAGTTCTCGTCCGTCCCATAGTGTGCACTCTCCGTGGCGCACCCCCACACAACGATTTGACTGGTAATCCGTCGTCTATAATCGCTCTTCGAAGGTTTTTTTTTTTTTTTGCCAGCGATTATATCAGGCCTTCCATCTAATTACTATTATCTTATTCAACATAATGAAGAATTCTTAATGCCAGCCTTACCGGCTGTTCCGTTTGTCAACGAGTACTGTGCTCATACTGAATGAATGTCTCGCAAAAATTTGAGCTCTGGTGTGTTGTACATTTCTATAAGAGGCATCGTCCCGTCTGGTACATAGCCTTTTTCCTTTTTCTTTTTTGGATGCAAAATGGCTCATTGTTTCAGAAGATTCAGGCATTTCCCCCTCAGGGACCTCCGTTCGAATTGGAAAGATACATAGAAGGATAGCATGACCCATGAGCATGCAAGGGGATCACACGTTTATATCGAGAAGAAGTAAAAAAAAAAACAGATAAGGAACGGTAGAGATAAGATAACCATGGCCCCTGTCATCGATGTGCAAAGTTGGAACTTGGAAAAAGAAAAAAAGGGTATAATTAACTTAATTGCAAAAACATCGTTTTTTCCAAGTTTGACAGCAACAATGTTGTCCGGTCCAAATTTCCTTTGCAAAAATAAAGGTTTTGTTGCAGCTTTACCGGGTTCCCGTAGTTTGCCAGCAATACATACTCAGCGTTTTGCCAAGTTTCACAGCAATGTGAAACTTGGCAAAACGCTGAGTATATTTCTTGCTGGCAAACTACGGGAAACTTGGCAAAACGCTGAGTATTTATTGCTGGCAAACTACGGGAACTGCAGCAAAAACTTTATTTTTGCAAAAAACATTTGGACCGGACAACATTGTTGCTGTCAGACTTGGAAAAAACAATGTTTTTGCAATTACCCCTCTTGTGGTATAACACACACACACACGCACACGCACACGCACACGCACACGCACACGCACAAACACACACACACACACACACACACACACACAAAAGAAAACAAAAAACAAAAAACAAAAAAAAAGGAGAAAACTGCACCTGTGACCGCTACACAGTTCAAAATTCGCAGAAATAACA